CACTGGTCGGCCATCCTGTGGACACCCGCACCCGAGCCCAGGGCCCCACTACACACGCTCGGGCCCCGTGACCACACACCCCCAGTTTGGTTGGAGGCCCCTAACGCTTGAGCTGCTCAGGAGTGCAGGGTTGGCGCGAGTGACTTCATGAACAAGAACAGCGCCATAACTCATGGGCAGGAGGGAGGGGCTGCTGTCCAGCCCGGCGCAGGCAGAGGGTACCGGCGGGCCGGGCGGCAGCGAGGCGCGGGGCAGTACCTGACGGACAGGGTGAAGTCCCCAGGGTTGCTTTTGCTGGGGCGGGCGAGGAAGCTGCCATGGACCCCTCTGGTTAAGAGCAGCTGCTCCGCCTCGATCCCAGTGATGTTGGGGTGGAACCACCTGGAAAGACAGGGAACAGAGACAGAGAGATCAGGAGCGGCCGGAAGGGAGGGCTGGGATTCGCTCAGGAGCTCAGGAGCTCAGGAGCCCAGGAGCTCAGGAGCGGCGCTCTGCTGCCTCAAGCTGCGCTGTGGGCACGCCCGTCCCTTTCCACACCTCTGGACTGCCAGGGCCCGCGACAGCAGCACTACTCTCTGACCACGACCCGCCTGCCACCCCGCCGAAGCCCTCTTACAGCCCCCTCCATGCGCTTTTCTCCATGGGCTGAGTTTTAGATCAAGCAATAAATAAAACTGAAAGGGTGTGCATGTTTAAGTTCATTTTCCCTTTGCACATTTTTAACACAGCTCACTCCGGGGTGACGCGGGTGGCCGGCTGCCTGCGCTTTTCATCTCCCCGGGACTCAACTCGCTCGAACCCGAACCCACAGCTCCTGCCAGGCTTCCTGTGGTCCAGCGCCTCCTGACCACCAGCCCAGCGAAGGTCCAGGTCCAGGACAGCCCACCAACACCGGCCAGCGGTGATCACATACTGACAGCTATTGAATTTATCAAGACCGGTCACAGAGAGCACTCTGTATTCAAGTCTCACTGTGAAGAAAAGAATTTCCAGCATAAAGAGTTCAGTGAGTAAGAAACAGCAGAGACAGGCAGTGAAAAGAGTGACTCATTCATATTGTAAACCAATTAGTGCAATTCTGTTAGCAAGAGGCAAGCCTGCTTACAGAAAGGCACCGCAATTAAAAGGAAGAGAGACTAACAACTGCAGAAAACGGTACGAAGAAATGTTACTGACAGAAACAGTTTCTACACTAAAATTCATCAGTTCAATTGTGCGAAACAAAT